TTACACTCAGCCAGAAAGGTGTTACATACAGTTAAGACCCTAACATTTGGACAAGTGACCCTTTTTCTCATATCGCCAACATATATTTGTCCATAAGCATGTAATTTTTGTGGAGTACAGTACATTCTGTGTAATATTTTCATTTGAAAAAGATCTTCATACTTGGAGCGAGACATTTTACATTCATCCACATTAAATTCCTGGATTTAATGATCATCAGAATTGCACAAAACTCTCAAAGTGATGCTTTAAAAGTGGGATGATGACAATCTCTAATTTTCATATAAAATTTGGATACAATTTTTTCTGCGATTTTCAAAATCAAAGCCATTTCTAAAGAGGAAAAGTGTAAAATCAACATTTGTGTCATAGTTCTTCTAAGACAGAAATATAAATAAGAAATAGAAGAATTTCTTTTTTAAAGTGTGTAAAGTTGGTGGTTTACCATCTTCAGGTCTTCCACCATGTTTACACTCTTGGAGCTCCTTTCTTCACTATGTAATGGTGTCCTGTTGAGGGTTTAGGACTGTCCCAGAGTCCCACACAATGTAGAAAAAGTTTGTTCATGTTTACTTATCCAAATAGCTCATGTGTCCATAAGGAAGTAATGGTGTGGCTCATCACCACAGTAAAATAAAGCTGGTGGGGGTTTGCCCAGGTTTGTGTACATTCCTATATGATGCCAGTAACTGATCGGCTGTGTTTGCATAACGTCTAAAATTTCACTCACTTCCTTCTTGTAAAAGCCTAAACGTCCTGTTCCCACATGTTTACAGAAGAAAGGAATGTAACCTATCAGATTACTGCTGTTTACCTCTGCGTTTGGCATCTGTAGGCTAGTTAAACCACCTGCCACCTAATGCCACCTGTAGAAAGAAATAACACTAATGCTGCATCTTCACCGCATCATAAAGTCAATACATAGGAGATTTATGACAAGCACTGAACAGTCAGTTAGGCTGTTCATAGAAGGCTGTAAATCAAGGGTACAAGTTAACAAGGTTCAAATTTGAACGTATGCATAAAAAGATGTGCCACTTTATTATACAGCAAAATTGTTACATGAGAAATACTGTTATAAGAAAACTGAAAATGTGGATCGTTTCTTTCAGAACACATGTGCTGTAACTTATTTTGAGTACATTCTCATAGCTCTGAGGGCAGGTTGGCCAAAATAAGGTAAAATGTCAGCGTCTTCAGAAAACATCTGCTTTCAGATCACATGGTCAGAGTTCATTAATGAACAGCTCATAACTGCCTACAATCCAATAACATGATCACAGAGCAAAGCACAGCACAGAAACATGGATGAGACCAGAGAAGCTCTTTATTTCATGATAAACAGACAAAACAATTTTATAAAAAAAAAAAATTACACAAACAGCATATTTGTATTATACAATCTAATACCCCATAAATTCACATCCTCACCTTCCGTTCCCGTGATTGTTTACAATCCCCACCACCATCCCATCTCCTCCCTGCTCCTCAGTCCTCTATCAGTCCTACTACAGCTATGAGGGGGGGATCTGGCCTTCTAGCTACAGCAGACAGTCTAAGGCCGACCTTTTGTGAGATAATTAATATTCTCTGTTAGGCAATACTTCCTATTTGGTTACTGATTACAATATCTAATCTATTAGATTACTGATTAAGGGAATATTTATTCAAAATCTCTGTCATTTCCCCTCTTTTTACCGTTTACCATGAACCTTATAATTGATTAATATGTTTAACATACCAAACAGTGCGTAATGCTGAATAAAATTTATAAATGTTGAATGAGTAAAATAGTATCAAAATAAGTGAAGAAAAATGAATAAAACCAAAGAGAAAACAAACCAAAAATCAAATCAATTAGCAAAGTAGTTCAAAGTAAAAGAAAAACCTAAATAGTCATTTCCCTCCTTAAATGATTATTGATTATTGGAACCTGTCAGGCAGTGTAAATTATACTGCTAAACTCACTACAAATTTGTTATCAGTCTGGTGAACTTTTTGTATAGGGGGTGAGCATAGCTGCATAAGGCACGGCAAATCCGGGTCTTCCTGGTTATAAAGCTCCTCAGAGCTACTATACAGGCTCTTTAAGTCCCACATATCAGGTGTCCCAAGAAAGCCAATAAGCCCAAAAAGCCACAATTGGACCATTCCAGTCCCAGCTCTCAACCCCAAATAGGCAACTGGTGTCTCGAACCCAACTTCTTGGATGTCAGTAGCCAGCATCAGCCTGAAAGCAAACCAGACCCTTGAAATAGTTAACAAACATATTTACTTGCCAATGTATTATAACATTCCCCAAAACACAAACTAATGTCACTAAAGGAAAGAACGAAACACCAAAATAAAAAGAAAGCATAAAAAGGATTAAATGGATTACTAGGCCATCGCTCAGTCCTAATTAATTCCTTGAGCTGGTGCAACACGGCAAGTCACATGAAAGTTGTTACTGGCTGTAGGAGTTTCGACTTGTAATACAGGAAAGTACCCCATAATATTCCCCACAATTTTGATAATCATGCTGCGTAAAACCACAGGAATAACCAACAGAATCATCCCCATTCTTAATAAGATAGCTGTCCACTGACTAGAGAATAACCTTTTAAAATATCCCCCCAGCAAACAGAGAAGGACCTTTAGTATTTTCCACATGGTCATTCCTACGTGCCCCTAATTGATCCATTAGGTTTGTGAAATTACCTTTTACTGCTGTATGTATTGGAGTGTAACCACAGCATTCATCCCCAAAAGGAACATATACGCCCTAATAGGAACTCTCATAATGTCAATTACAAACTGATTTTGTAGTGCTACACTACACGAGAAGTAGCATCTAGTTGCTGACCCAGCGATTCTAAAGCTTTGATGGTGTAATTAATTTGTTGATTATACCAAATATAATTTAACCACTTGGCATTTTGTGATGTTTGAATACTTGGTAAAAACACAGATAAACCTCCTTTGCTCTCGTCTGACATGGCTTTAAACTCTGGTGGCACATTAACAGGAACACCTGCCCAACTTAGTGTTGGTTTGTTTTCTTGCCAAGTGATGTCTTTCTTATGTCTAGTTGTTATTTCTCCCCATGCAAATATAAGAACAATCCCACTAAGAGTAAATGGAGCTTAATTATCTGATAAGCATTGTAGTTCTTTTCCTTCTTTACAAATCCTAAATATGTCTGCTACAGGGTGAGATCCTACAGTAAAGCCTATGTCAAAGGTAACATTCCCTTTATTGTTTATTTGAATATTGGCATTTAACTTTCTATCATATCTGGTAGCAAAGTTATTAATCTCATTACCTTCTTCTAGACAAAAACAAAATGGGTAATTTAATCTACCATCCTTAATTACCAGAGGTGGAGCTGTAACAGGTTTGCTCATAGCTGTACAATTGTCTAAACCCTTGTTTCTAACAACCTCTGGGCTTAAACTATCCAGCAAACAGAGTAAAGGCAGATTGTAACACTTTCCCAACACTCTTCTAATCCTATAGCCACCATAGTTGGTACATGTTTGGAATGGCAGGTTATACAATCCTCATGTTGATTTCAGCAGTATAGCGTGAGTAATGATACAGTATATTTTGGGAAGCATATTCTGGACAACCATCCCTTTTTCTTCAGATTAGTCTCATCTAATGTGTCTTCTATAACTTTTTGTCCTATTTTCATCTCATGTGCCTTCCATTTTTGAACAACAACTTCTTTGGAATTATTTCTATTAATTGTCTTATAACAGATGATTGGTTCACACTTCTATCCTTGACAGAGGACTAACTCACACCTTGTTCCTACTGTCATTCTTATTGAAACTTTACCTCGATCAGCTTTTAAAATCCCTATTCCTCTTATTTTCACTTTAATGTCTTTTACATATGCTTTGGTACCTGTGCTCCTATATGTTACATAGGAATCACCTGCTGGCTGTGAGTGATTATTAGTAAGGAGTAACATAAGAGATAACACACGTTATAGCCCATTGTTTTACTGCTAGGTGTAACACTTGGTCCAACACGATTAGGCTCTGTGTACAACTGGAAATACCTGGAAACCACTGACAACAGCAAGACTGATTTGCATTTGCATGTCCCTTATGTCTCTGTCCTTTCATGCAACACCTTGAACTCATTCGGAGTCCCACGCAATCCTTGGCAAACTTTTTGGCTGGTAATTGGACAGTACTGTTCACAGTGCATGCCATTAGTCAAGTTCCAGGTTTGGCGCACAAGAAAGTATTCTGGTTCCGCTCTTTTCATCTGCTCATGAGAGTTCTGGATCTGACTGTGTGCATGTGAGTCATTTTTCAGACAGAGTGGAGGGTTGTGTCTCATGTAGATCATGCACACTGTCAGTCTCAGCAGAGCACAAGTGATGAAAAAAGCAAATGACAACAGCAGGAGGTTGACGATTGTGTTTTCATGTTTCCTCAGTTCAGTCATCCATGTCCGAGTCCATGTCATGTTTCCATAATATATTTATTTTCCTTTAATTAGTAAAATAATCTGCGTTGTAGCCTCTGTGTGCAGACTGGGAGCGGTCTGTGTGTGTGTGTGTTCCAACTGTGCTAGATTAATTGCTGTCCTTGAAGTGCTCGTGTGTGTGTGTGTGTTTGTGTGTGTGTTATCTCATGGTCCGCTGCTAAGAGCCCCCCCTTTCTTCCTTCTCTCTCTCTCTGCTGCAATTTTTTACCTGCCAAGATGACAGGTTAATACTTATGCATTGATAATTTCCCTTATTTCCAAAAAATCCTCTCAATTTCATTTACTTTCTTTTACTTTTACATATCAATCGCTATTTGAATTCCATCTCGTTTTCCTTCCTTCTCTCTCTTTTCTTCTTTCCATTTTTCCTTCTCCTTATCTCTGTTTCTCTCTCATTCTATCTCAGTCTCTTCTTCTTTCACTTTTCTGTCTTCTATTTCTATCTCTTTCTCTCTCTCTCATTCTCTTTCCATGTTCTCGAATTCTTCACCAACCATGCTTCACACACATCAATCTCCAAAGGGAAAACTTTAAAGTAATCTCCTTTAAACAGCTCATCTCTTGAACTTCTAAATACATGTTGCACTGGCGTTGAGTTAGGCCATGAACTCTTACGCAAGGGGTCAGTTTCTCGTAATTTAATCTAGAGTAGAGGAGCGTACCACCCTAAAGTAGCTGCCTTTTCTCTTCCTTTTTTTTTTTTCTCTTGCCTGTTTTTCTTCCTTTGGACCTCTCTTTTTTCGACAGTAAGGTGTATCTCAAGCTCTCTGCACTGCTCAAACTTATTTTCAGCCACTAAGGGGGTTTGACTGTTTAATATTGTATTTAACAATGGAGCTGGATGTTTTTGTTCCAAATCAGTTTAATTCTCCCTTTCAAACTATGGTGAGGAACACAGTCTGCACTTCATCCCAATTAAGCCATTTGGGTCAGCTGCCATCATTTTTCACCAATCAACACTGATGATTTCCAACTCTCTCTGCCTTCTGCATCTTTTTAAGTTTTTTCAAGCCAAAATTGAGTTTGAACACCTTGTGTCTCCATTACAAGTCCATAAAATCACTGTGGACAATATTTTAATTCAGTCACTCTACTCTCTATCGAGGAACCGAGAGCTTTTTCATATACGCTTTATTTATGTAAATTAAATCAGGTCTTATCCATATCTCAATTAACTTCCATTTTCGTTTTATTAAATTCTCTATCACTGTTTACATTTACACTCATCACTGATACAGCTGTTACTGTCAGTTGCTTATATTTGACCTTACTTTTAAGTTTCATCTGTATTTTTAAGTTCTGTATTTCAGTCATTTAGTAGTTTACAGTTTCCTTTTCTTTCCCAACAGCAATTTTTTTATAGCTTTGAATGACAGCACTGGCACGTACTCACGCAGTGCGGCTGGTATTAAACTTATCTGGTCCTCTCTAACATATCTTCTCAATGTTGTAATACACACATCTACACTTATGTAGAGAAGGAGCCCGTCTCCTAGGTTTCACGTACCACTGCATCATATCTTCAGTTTTTCTATTTTTTTTTCCTTTTTAAAACTTTTTGTATGGCCACACTTTTGCATTTAACATTTATCTCTTTATTCCTTTTTCTCAATCTCTATTTCTCTGGCGCGCTTTTTCTTCATACACTGTTTTTTGTCAGCCGGCGGCTCACTCCAATCACTTTATCATCTTCACAACATAAAACTACTTTATTTGTCCACCCGATTTTTTCTAACTGTAACTGTAACTCCTTTTTATCATTTTTTTTCTTTTTTCATTTTCCTCCCTTCTCATGCGGCTCAGTACCTTTCTCACTGCACCTCAGTCGTAAATCACTCTTAGAGCTATTTCATCATTAAGCGTCAGTGACCACATAACCCAGTGAACAAAGCCTGTTCCCACATTTAAAGCAGAGCTTTAAAACAGGTGTCTGCTTACCTTTTACTCTTAGCGCGCTTCTGGGCAGTCTCTTTTTTCACAGGGTCACGGGGTGGCGGTCCACTATCGATCTGGTGCTGATAACACAACACACTTTCAGGTTCGTCACCTGTCCCCGTTACAGGGCCACCAATTATGTCAGGACCAAGAGCTCTTTGCTTCCTTGCCCAAAGCTCCGACATATGATGATTTTTAAAATCTAAACTATTCTGAGCTGTGGTTTTGTTCTAATTATTGTCTTAATCACTTACAAAAATAAACAAAAATAAAATAAACAAAAAAAACAAGGGTATTCAATCATAAATAAAAGAACGTAGAATAAAAGACTTCAGCTGCTGAGTTCTTGTGGAAGGGAGAAAAAGGCTTCTTCTTAATTTCAGCATCAGGTGGCTCAGGGTCTCGAGAGACCCCAACTGTGCAAATACAGTGTTCCAAACAGCAGTTTATCCCATTTATCTGGGGTAATGTGATATCCCCCCACCTTACTTCGCAAATTTTGATATTAGCTCATTCCCTAATAGGTGCATCTCTTCGTCCATCAATTTGGCCATTGCATGATGAGCTCACTCCTCAATACTGGCTTCAACAGGTTTTTACCAGCCTGCTCTACCTTTCAAGGTCAACTTGCCCCTCTCTTCACTAGGTCAGTAGGTACACACAGGCCTGTCTGTGAACCCAGGGGCTTTCCAGTGTCTAGAATCTCCTATGCAGACAGACTAAGGCCGACCCTCTGTGAGAGAATTAATATTCTCTGTTAGGCAATACTTTCTATTTGGTTATTGATTACAACATCTAATGTATTTGATTACAGATTAAGGGAATATTTATTCAAAATCTCACTGGCTTGCTGAAGTTTCAGAAACCATTTCTCAAGGAGGTCCACACCTTTATCCTCAGATGATACAGAATAATATGTTTGCAAGGATTATGAACATGATGATCGCTGACAGAGAATGGATCATTCCTGCACCACCTGTAGAGACAGAGAAGAACTTTAATTAGATTTGTACCCTTTAATACAAAGCTAAAAGAATTATTTCACTGTTGCCAGAAGAAAACCTCATACACTATATTTCCAAAAGTATTCACTCGTCTGCCTTCACACACATATGAACTTGAGTGACATCCCATTCTTAATCCATAGGGTTTAATATGATGTCGGCCCACCCTTTGCAGCTATAACAGCTTCAACTCTTCTGGGAAGGCTTTCCACAAGGGTTAGGAGTGTTTATGGGAATTTTTGACCTTCTTCCAGAAGCGCATTTGTGAGGTCAGACACTGATGTTGGGCGAGAAGGCCTGGCTTGCAGTCTCCGCTCTAATTCATCCCAAAGGTGTTCTATCAGGTTTAGGTCAGGACTCTGTGCAGGCCAGTCAAGTTCTTCTGCACCAAACTCGCTCATCCATGTCTTTATGGACCTTGCTTTGTGCACTGGTGCGCAGTCATGTTGGAACAGGAAGGGGCCGTCCCCAAACTGTTCCCCCAAAGTTGGGAGCATGAAATTGTCCAAAATCTCTTGGTGCTAAAGCATTAAGAGTTCCTTTCACTGGAACTAAGGGGCCGAGTACAACTCCTGAAAAACAGCCCCACACCATAATCCCCCTCCACCAAACTCTCCACTTGGCACAATGCAGTCAGACAAGTACCGTCTCCTGGCAACCGCCAAACCCAGACTCGTCCATCGGATTGCCAGACAGAGAAGCATGATTGGTCACTCCAGAGAACACGTCTCCACTGCTCTAGAGTCCAGTGGCGCTTTACACCACTGCATTCGACGCTTTGCATTGCGCTTGGTGATGTAAGGCTTGGATGCAGCTGCTCGGCCATGGAAACCCATTCCATGAAGCTCTCTACGCTGATCTTGAGCTAATCTGAAGGCCACATGAAGTTTGGAGGTCTGTAGCGATTGACTCTGCAGAAAGTTGGTGACCTCTGCGCACTATGCGCCTCAGCATCCGCTGACCCCGCTCTGTCATTTTACGTAGCAGACCACTTCGTGGCTGAGTTGCTGTCGTTCCCAATCACTTCCACTTTGTTATAATACCACTGACAGTTGACTGTGGAACATTTAGTAGTGAGGAAATTTCACGACTGGGCTTGTTGCACAGGTGGCATCCGATCACAGTACCACGCTGGAATTCACTGAGCTCCTGAGAGCGACACATTCTTTCACTAATGTTTGTAGAAGCAGTCTGTGGCCATGGAAGTGATTGGAACACCTGAATTCAATGATTTGGATGGGTGAATGAATACTTTTGGAAATATAGTGTATCTCCAAAATGGTAACTTTACAGGAGAAGGAAAAAACATACTCTACTTTCAGTGTAAATCAATGGAACCAGAATTTTTCTCAAGTAAATTTGGGTCATCATGAAATTTACAATGTAAAAGGTAACAGGTATTTTCAAATTATGTCAAAAACTGAAAAATGACAATAAGGATATACGTTTTTGTTCCAACAGCAGCGATATGTTGGAAAGATTCATTGCACATAATACAAGCCTTGTTCTTTCTTTAGAATGAGTGAGATATCTGTTGATTTAAGGCTCTTAAAGTAGTTTTAGATTATAGTACATGCTGTTTGTATAGTTGGTTGGAACCCAAGTTTTTTTCCAGATTGTCTCCAGTTACCAGAGCTCTCTGTAGTTGGGAGTTAGTGACTCTTGTGCTATAAAGTAAAAGTCTTGGGGGACCAGATGTGATCTTGTAAAGAGAATACATGTCTAGAGACAGTCTTGAGGAGACAGGCGTAAGCAATGAGTCAAATTGTTTTTCTCAGTGGAAAAATAATGGTATTTCCAGAAACTGCAGCTTTTATGCTGTGGTTCCCCCATCTAGCACATCATAAAAAGCTAAAGAGGTGCTATGAATAATGTTATATCCTTTGATGTGTTTGGCACAAACTGTTATTACATAAAAGACTTTTAATATAATATTTATGATTGAAATAATATTTAATATTTATTTACGCTATATGGCCAAAAGGATGTGGACATCTGCCTAACACACCTATGTGACCTTGTTGGCCAAAGTACTCCAACAAGTGTGAACAAGCCTGTCCTCAGTGGTGTGGATGTAAGCCAGCATGGCTGAAAACCAGTTATACTCTGGATGTTGAAAGTACAAACAGTGCTGGATATTGAGAGGCAGGAAATCCTGTGTAGTCTTGCAGTATATTTCATAACCATTCACAAGTGAAAGTTTCACAAGCTGTACTTTCACTGTAAGATTATGTTTGATAGAGATCAAATATGGTTACACACTTTCTGACAAACCAGGTACGCGCACAACTTAAAAATGACTCTCCCGAACTACTGGCCTGTAAAAATGCTTAAATCTTGATTCATTTATATAAGACATATACGTAAATACACAGATCAGCCATTACATTATGACCACCTCCTTGTTTCTACACTCATTGTCCATTTTATCAGCTCCACTTACTATATAGGTGCACTTTGTAGTTCTACAGTTACAGACTGTAGTCCATCTGTTTCTCTGCATACTTTGTTAGCCCCCTTTTACCCTGTTCTTCAGTGGTCAGGACCCCCATGGACCCTCACAGAGCAGGTACTATTTGGGTGGTGGATCATTCTCAGCACTGCAGTAACACTGACGTGGTGGTGGTGTGTTAGTGTGTGTTGCGCTGGTACGAGTGGATCAGACACAGCAGAGCTGCTGGAGTTTTTATTCTCTAAACGGGCGTTTTTAATTTTCAGTTCGCAAGAACTGAGCCCGTATTGCTGTGGGAGGCACCGTAAACTCACGTTAGTGGAGTTAGCTGGGAGGCTCCAGCTCCAGAAAACAGGTTTAATTTCAGCTTTCTGTCCCTCTAACATCAGCCGCTCGACTTTGCTTCCTCAGTTATGAGTCATTTTTATGAGTCATTCACACAAGTCTAAGCTTGTGTCAGTAAAGCTTTTGTTAGTCAGAATCAAACCTGTTCTGTAGTGAGCAGAGCTGGCAGCATGCTAGCTAACGCTAACCATTTACTCTCTCCTGGTTAGCGGCACCACTTAACTTTTGGAAATTGTGTTGGTTTGAAGCTTTGACGTTTACTGAATGGTGGAGTTTAAAATTGTGTACTGCTTTCATTTATTTGGCTTCCATATAAGCAAACAGAACTTTTTTGATTGTTTTCAGTTCTATGGCCTCAAGTACGGTTAGCTAACCATGTGGAAGAAACTATGCTGAGCCAGGTTTTTAAGCATACTGTGTCAAACTGTGTCTGTGTGGAAAAGCCACTAGAAAGGTTCCCCTTCACACTCAGAACCATTTGGCCCTGCAGAGGAAAAGAGGCCATGGTTTTCTGGGCAAATGAATCACATTTGCACAGAAATGGTCTCTAAATGGTCGAACCGAGGTGGTCTGAGTACGGTTTGTAGTTCGTTTTGTGGTCCAACTGATCATTGTGAAAACAAAATGGCCCCAGCCTTCACGTTTTACCTTATGGCAAAGACCTTGAGGCTCACCGTACGCAAACAGACAGTCTTCCAGCACTTTAGCGAATAAAAGACCACCCAAGATCATATAAGGTACTACAGGATAAAGCCTGCTCAAAATCTCTTACACTTTCACACCCCACTGCCATCAAACAAGAAGTGTCTGACATCTCATAAAAACTATATATGAAAACACCCTAATAAAATATTAGGTACCATAGCTTAAATACGTCTTTACTTACTTGATGCAGACAGCTTTACAAGAGAAAACTCCTCTACTGATTCTGTAGAAAAGAAGAAACAATTATTAATACTAATTAGAACATTACAATCTGAATTCACAGTCATACAGTCTGTATTCTAAAGAGAAAAAAAATGTTAAAAAGAACTGTTGGACTGGAAAATGCAACAAGAATGGCTTTTCTTAGACTGGACTAGTGGCTCAATTAGACTAGATGGTCACTCACGTGCTGCTGCAGTTTCCTCAGATGCATCTTTGGAGAGAAGAGAAAAAAGAAATGACTCTTTAGAGCAGTGCACTGCTTTCACATCATCACTGATCTCTCAAAGTACTCTTTCACAGTGTGATGTACATTCCATCACCAGGAAAGATGCAAATTTGGCCAAATATTTTGGCTGATACCCAACAATCACTAGTCAACAATTGACTCAACTGACAACCCTACAATCAACAGAACATAAAACGCTGCAGAAAATGCTTCCTCAGAAAGTGAAATGATCTTAAATCTATATATCTATATATCTATCTAAAATTTCACGTTAACATTGTTATAAGCAAAGAGGGTTTTCTGCCAATATAGTGAGATCATTTTACTTGATCAAATTACTTAGAACAAGTTAAAAAATCTAGAAATTAGTTAAATAATCTTATAATAATCTTAACAGTGGAAATATCATAATTATCCACCAGATTTAAGATAATTTCATTTTTAAATGTACTTTTATTTGTAGTGCAATATCAAAAATAAGCCCGTCTGCAAATGAAATACATTTAGACAAATATTTTTAAAAGGTGTCAGTATAATTCAGTTATGTATTTACATTAACCTAAAATATACGTATTAAAACTTTACACCATTTCATTTATTTAACCTATATGTGTGTGCATATGTCTGAATACACTCACATATATGTCAATATATTGGCTTATTTTAAATGTTGTAAAATGACACAATACAGAATTTCCAGAAAAAAACATATAATATGTAAAATATGTTTATAAACTACATTTGAAAATATTTATGAAAATGTTTGCTTAATGAGCTTTAGTGTTTAAAATGAATTCTAAATTGAAAGAATATATTTGAAATAGTGAACAGTAGCTCAGCAGCTCGAGTGCTCAGTAGGTCTGGAAAGCTGTCGTCATCCGCCATGTTCTCCTCTATAATTTTGCACACCCATATGTGATTTCTTCACACCAGCGTTCAGAACATGGATGAAATAGATGTCGGTCTTATTGCAGATGTTTTCTTAGGTAGAACGCTGTTGTAGTTGTGCTAGTGTCCTCTCAAAAATGCTTCCAACCAATTACTATTTTTAGCTGCACTTAGATTTTTAGTGGTCCTATCTAGCAGAACGTCCTCATGCATACAATTCAAAAAATCATCTCACCTCAACGTTAATCAATAGCAGTGGTCGAACACTTGTTTATTTGTTGGTTAATGATTTATTGGATATTGGATCTTTTACAAATGCAACACTTTTGGTTTTGCTCCCATTTTGTAGCAGTTTAACACAAAAAATCTGATTTTTTTCCCCCTAAAGACGCTACAGGCCCCACCAGATACTACGTTGGTGGTAAGGGAAAAATAAATTTTTAAAAGATCCATTAATTTCACATTCAGCCTCAATGATAATCTTGCATTTGATTGCACCTTTGCTAAACAACAGTGTTTGATATGGAAATCACCTTCTATACCAGTGAAAGTAGAAGAAAGTCTTCAGTTGATTCCAAAGAAGGTTCAGCTTCCACTTTCCTCAGTATTTTCATATGATGATACTTTTACTTCCACTTTTACAAAAAACACCCCATCAATAGTGCTTAATTAGTGGTAAACAGAGTGGTTCAGAGTGGTTTGGTGTGAAACGCTCTGTTCTAGAGACACTTACAGAGTCAGAACTGTTCACAGTGGTGGTGATAGGAACCAGAGGCCATAATACATAAAATTCTTAAGTCTGAGATCTGCTTTGTTGTCATGGCAACTTCAGCTAAGACTGACAGAAGCCATTACAGAACAACTGTTCTTAGGTCTATAACCTTCTCTTATTTCCAGATAAGAAAACGGTTTTACAGAAACATCCTAAGTTGCCAAAATATCCTAAACATTTTCTTAACTTTAAGATGAAGATGAAGTCTTAACTTCAGTTTAACCGTCTGTTTCTGTTGTTTTATGCAGTGATGGGCAGCTCAGTTGACTATAACCAGCATAATGTCGCTACATTTATCTACACTTAAAACGCTGCTTTCACTGTGAGATGATTTTCTTTTCTAACTCTGCGTTTTAAAGATCTCAGACGCTGCAGACTCGATCTCCACCGCCCCTCTGATTACCTTCGTGTGTTAATGTTGATGATGAAATATTACAGTGATGGTGGTGAATAATGAGGAGACGGAGCTGAACGCGTGTCTGTTTATTAGGAGGAGTAACGTTAGCGCGCTCGGCTAAAGCGTTTGGGAAATGGAGACTGAAACTGGGGAGCAGCGACTCTGATAAACAGCAGGGGGCGCTCTCACAATACTCACTACTTACAGTTTATCACACTTTAGTTCTGTTTGACTTTCTTTACGTTACATCAGTAACGGTAGCTAACGTTAGCTGTCTAACTGACTGGATTACGTGTTTATGTTTCAGCTGTGCACATGTGGTCAGTTGCTAGGTAACAGACAAGACAGTTGATTGTCGACTTCAATCGAGTAAGTTAAGATTTCCTAACTTGAGATAAGAAAAGATTCTGTAAAATAAGATTCTTAATTTAAGATCAGTTTTGCTTCTGTAATATGAACTTGAGAAATATCTTATCTTGATCTGTCAGTTAAGACAAAAGAATAAGAGTTTGCTGTAATATGGCCGGACGTCCACCTCTAAAAGCTCCCTCACAGAAAGTTATTGCATGAAATGGTTATGAATTCACTTTTGGTTTTGCTCCCATTTTACAGGAGTTTATCACAAAAAATCAGGACTTTTTTTCCTAGAAATGCTACAGGCCACACCAGGTACTACGTTGGTAACTATGTTTCACGACCCTGCTCTGTGCAGGGTTTCAGTAAAATCTTTCAGTAAAAAGCATTTATATTTCCGTTCAGTATAATTTTGTAAACTCCTGGTCAGGGAAGTGGTTGATGAGACTGTAGTTTAATCTCCTTACCCTCCACTGAGAGCTCCACACCCTGGATGAAAACCCGTTTAGAGTTGAGAGACCTCTTTGTTTGTTTCTGCAGCAGGTAGCTCTCATACGGACCTGCATCAGTTAGTCTGACATCCTTCAACATCAAGGAACAATCACCACTGAGCAGCTTATCTTCAGGAACGTCCACACGACGCTCATACCCCTCACCCTCATACTGCTCCCCGCCCAGTCGCTCAAACACCGTTTCGGACATAGTGCGCCACTCAATGTGCGGTCTTTCACCAGGTGACTGTGTTTTATTCCTCCAATCACACGGAAGAACAGCTGAGGAAGCGGCTTTAACAGACAAGTAGATCCTAGACTGTGCAGACAGAGAGCCTGTGGGAAAAAGCCAATATGGATTCATTTTAGCTCCTTTTAGAATGTATTTTATAGAAATGGTCAGTAGTTTGTCCAACTCACCAGCACAACAAGCAAGTAACAGGATGAGAAGGAAGGTGTTCATGATCAACACTGGTGAGATCTGTAAAATAAATAAATAAATAAAAGAGTCAATACATAAATAAATAAATACATAAACAATTTAGCAATGTCACAATCATAAACACATTTTCATATGACCTCCCAGCAGTTTAGCTCCGCCCCTTCAGTCTACAGCAGTTTAGCCCCACCATTCAGCTACAGCAGTTTAGCCCCACCATTCAGCTACAGCAGTTTAGCTCCACCATTCAGCTACAGCAGTTTAGCCCCACCCATTCAGCTACAGCAGTTTAGCCCCACCATTCAGCTACAGCAGTTTAGCTCCACCATTCAGTCTACAGCAGTTTAGCTCCACCATTCAGTCTACAGCAGTTTAGCTCCACCATTCAGTCTACAGCAGTTTAGCTCCACCATTCAGTCTACAGCAGTTTAGCCCCACCATTCAGTCTACAGCAGTTTAGCCCCACCATTCAGCTACAGCAGTTTAGTTCCACCATTCAGCTACAGCAGTTTAGCCCCACCATTCAGCTACAGCAGTTTAGCCCCACCATTCAGCTACAGCAGTTTAGCCCCACCCATTCAGCTACGGCAGTTTAGCCCCACCATTCAGCTACGGCAATTTAGTTCCACCATTCAGCTACGGCAGTTTAGCTCCACCATTCAGCTACGGCAGTTTAGCCCCACCATTCAGTCTACAGGAGTTTAGCCCCACCATTCAGCTACAGCAGTTTAGCTCCACCATTCATGTACAGCAGTTTAGCTCCACCATTCAGCTACAGCAGTTTAGCTCCACCATTCAGCTACAGCAGTTTAGCTCCACCATTCAGCTACAGTAGTTTAGCTCCACCATTCAGCTACAGCAGTTTAGCTCCACCCACTCAGCTACAGCAGTTTAGCCCCACCATTCAGCTACAGCAGTTTAGCTCCACCATTCAGTCTACAGCAGTTTAGCTCCACCATTCAGTCTACAACAGTTTAGCCTCACCATTCAGTCTACAGCAGTTTAGCTCCACCATTCAGCTACAGCAGTTTAGCTCAACCATTCAGCTACAGCAGTTACAGCTACAGCAGTTTAGCTCCACCATTCAGCTACAGTAGTTTAGCTCCACTATTCAGCTACAGCAGTTTAGCCCCACCATTCAGTCTACAGCGGTTTCGCTCCACCATTCAGTTACATCAGTTTAGCCCCACCATTCAACTACAGCAGTTTAGCCCCACCATTCAGCTACAGCAGTTTAGCTCCACCATTCAGTCTACAGCAGTTTAGCTCCACCATTCAGTCTACAACAGTTTAGCTCCACCCATTCAGCTACAGCAGTTTAGCCCCACCATTCAGCTACAGCAGTTTAGCCCCACCATTCAGCTACAGCAGTTTAGCCCCACCATTCAGCTACAGCAGTTTAGCTCCACCATTCAGCTACAGCAGTTTAGCTCCACCCATTCAGCTACAGCAGTTTAGCCCCACCATTCAGTCTACAGCAGTTTAACCTCACCTTTCAGTCTACAGCAGTTTAGCTCCACACATTCAACTACAGCAGTTTAGCCCCACCCATTCAGCTACAGCAGTTTAGCCCAACCATTCAGCCTACAGCAGTTTAGCTCCACCCATTCAGCTACAGCAGTTTAGCCCCACCCTTCAGCTACAGCAGTTTAGCTCCACCATTCAGTCTACAGCAGTTTAGCCCCACCATTCAGCTACAGCAGTTTAGCTCCACCCATTCAGCTACAGCAGTTTAGCCCCACCATTCAGTCTACAGCAGTTTAGCTCCACCATTCAGTCTACAGCAGTTTAGCCCCACCATTCAGCTACAGCAGTTTAGCCCCACCATTCAGTCTACAGCAGTTTAGCTCCACCATTCAGTTACAGCAGTTTAGCCCCACCATTCAGCTACAGCAGTTTAGCCCCACCCATTCAGCTACAGCAGTTTAGCCCCACCATTCAGCTACAGCAGTTTAGCTCCACCATTAAGCTACAGCAGTTTAGCTCCACCATTCAGTCTACAGCAGTTTAGCCCCACTATTCAGTCTACAGCAGTTTAGCCCCACCATTCAGTCTACAGCAGTTTAGCCCCACCATTCAGTCTACAGCAGTTTAGCCCCACCATTCAGCTACAGCAGTTTAGCCCTATCATTCAGCTACAACAGTTTAGCTCCACCATTCAGCTACAGCAGTTTAGCCCCACCATTCAGTCTACAGCAGTTTAGCCCCACCATTCAGTCTACAGCAGTTTAGCCCCACCATTCAGTCTACAGGAGTTTAGCCCCACCATTCAGCTACAGCAGTTTAGCTCCACCATTCAGCTACAGCAGTTTAGCTCCACTATTCAGTCTACAGCAGTTTAGCCCCACCATTCAGTCTACAGCAGTTTAGCCACACCATTCAGCCTACAGCAGTTTAACCCCACCCATTCAGCTACAGCAGTTTAGCCCCACCATTCAGCTACAGCAGTTTAGCTCCACCATTTAGCCTACAGCAGTTTAGCTCCACCATTCAGTCTACAGCAGTTTAGCCCCACCATTCAGCTACAGCTGCCTACAGCCGTTTAGCTCCACCATTTAGCCTACAGCAGTTTAGCCCCACCATTCAGCTACAGCAGTTTAGCCCCACCATTCAGTCTACAGCAGTTTAGCCCCACCATTCAGTCTACAGCGGTTTAGCTCCACCATTCAGCTACAGCGGTTTAGCCCCACCATTCAGCTACAGCAGTTTAGCTCCACCATTCAGTCTACAGCGGTTTAGCTCCACCATTCAGTCTACAGCGGTGTAGCTCCACCATTCAGCTACAGCAGTTTAGCCCCACCATTCAGTCTACAGCAGTTTAGCCCCACCATTCAGCTACAGCAGTTTAGCCCCACCCATTCAGTCTACAGCAGTTTAGCCCCACCATTCAGTCTACAGCAGTTTAGCCCCACCATTCAGTCTACAGCAGTTTAGCCCCACCATTCAGCTACAGCAGTTTAGCTCCACCATTCAGCCTACAGCAGTTTAACCCCACCATTCAGCTACAGCAGTTTAGCTCCACCATTTAGCCTACAGCAGTTTAGCCCCACCATTCAGCTACAGCAGTTTAGCTCCACCATTCAGTCTACAGCAGTTTAGCTCCACCATTTAGCCTACAGCAGTTTAGCCCCACCATTCAGTCTACAGCAGTTTAGCTCCACCATTTAGCCTACAGCAGTTTAGCCCCACCATTCAGCTACAGCAGTTTAGCTCCACCATTCAGTCTACAGCAGTTTAGCCCCACCCATTCAGTCTACAGTAGTTTAGCCCCACCATTCAGTCTACAGTAGTTTAGCCCCACCATTCAGTCTACAGCAGTTTAGCCCCACCCATTCAGTCTACAGTAGTTTAGCCCCACCATTCAGCTACAGCAGTTTAGCTCCACCATTCAGCTACAGCAGTTTAGCTCCACCATTCAGCCTACAGCAGTTTAACCCCACCCATTCAGTCTACAGCGGTTTAGCTCCACCATTCAGCTACAGCAGTTTAGCCCCACCATTCAGTCTACAGCGGTTTAGCCCCACCATTCAGTCTACAGCAGTTTAGCACCACCATTCAGCTACAGCAGTTTAGCCCCACCCATTCAGTCTACAGCAGTTTAGCCCCACCATTCAGTCTACAGCAGTTTAGCCCCACCATTCAGTCTACAGCAGTTTAGCCCCACCATTCAGCTACAGCAGTTTAGCTCCACCATTCAGCTACAGCAGTTTAGCCCCACCATTCAGCTACAGCAGTTTAGCTCCACCATTCAGCTACAGCAGTTTAGCCCCACCCATTCAGTCTAGAACTAAAAACAACTGTAGAAAGAATGGTACGTAAACGCACAAAAACTGGACATAAAAAATACATCCTCTAATTTCACACCCAGCCTAACTGATAATCTTACGTCCAGTCGCACCTTTGCTAAACCACAGTGTTTGATATGAAAATCACTTTCTATACCAGTTAAAGTAGAGGAAAGTCTTCAGTTGATCCCAAAGAAGGTTCAGCTTTCACTTTCTTCAGTATTTTCATATGATGATACTTTTATTTCTATTTTTATCAAAACCACTGCATAATTACAGAGTCAAAATTGTGGTGCTGGTGATCCAGACATCAACAGTGGGGTGGTATGCAGGATCTGAGGCAACACAAGTCTTGTTTATGTTATCCGGAACTTCTTGAGTTGGGTAAACATAGCAGAAAACATAAACAAACAGCAGATCCTGCCAAAAAAGGAGCTTTCTAAGAAAAGTTCCCAGTTGGTAGAAAACCCAATTTCTTCAAAAAAGTAACTTTACAGAAGAGGGAAAAACCTACTATACTTTTACGGTAAGTCAATGGAACCAGACTTTTTTCCAAGTCATTTTGGGCCGACTTTTGGTCCATTCATCATGAAATTTACACACAATATAAAAAACAACAGGCATTTTCACATTATGTAAAAAAAACCTGATAAATAACACTTACAGTGTAGCCTAACTGCCCTTTCTGGATTTGACTTGTGCCTCTTTCCTGACGATTTTGATTGACGATTCAAACAGTAAAGCCTTTTCTGGTCTTTTTATCCACGAACGTCTGAGTGATTCCGTCACGTAACGCATAACTATTAATTTGTTAGGGAAAAATGAATGAAGTGGTGGTGATGGCAAATATTGCACTTTAAGTGAGTCCTTTATAGGACAAGACTAACAAAAGAGACGGACAAACATTACACAAAGAAGGTGAGGGGTCACTCAGGCCCCCGAGTGGGGTCACGCTGCTTATTATACATTCAAACCAGCTCATTATGACCAACTACGAGTGTAATGAGGATTAAACGACTGACCTTTTAGCAAACGTAGGGAAACAAACAGCTTCGGGCTGAACCTCTTCACAGGCACAAAAATACTACAAGCGGTGGATTCAGTTTGTACGCGAATGAATGAATGAATAAATCCCTCTTTTTTTAGCTGCCTTCCTCGACTTTCAGGGGCTGGAGTTACACACTCTCATACACTCTCTCTCTCTCTCTCTCTCTCTCTCTCACTCACACACACACACACTGTTAGTCTTACCTCAGTCTGCAGAGTAGCTGTCCAGCAAGCACGTGAAAGTGAAAGTGGTTAGAATTTAAAGAGCAGCAGGAGGAGTGAGCTCATGGTTCAGCTGGGTAGTTTTTCCTGGGTTATTTGTGTCTCTCTCCCTCAGTCCGTTATCCAGTATTGGATTAATGTTGTGAACCAGCTGCTGAGCTATTTCTTCGTCCAGCAGTTGGGTTTCTGCTCCCTGTCGCCACTATACTTGTAGGAGCTTGCACAAGTTTGAATTACACAAGTTTGAAGTGCATTTACTGTGTGACTCTTACTGTGTGACACTGAGCACGGCATGACTTTCATTTACAATGTCCTTTTATTAAATGTTACGGTGGTTTGCTGCTTTTTTTTGCCACGTTATGCTTTTATCATTGTATTGAATTTACCTGTGTAGCACCTTGAGATTTTCACACAAATGAAAGGTGAATTTTAAATATTATTATTATTATTATTGTTGATATTGTTATTACTATTGGTGGTAGTAGTAGTAGTAGTAGTAGTAGTAGTAACGGTAGTAGTAGTATACATTTCTAGAGGGCAGAGGGCAAAATGGAAGATTTGGTGTTGCAGATTTAAGGTCAGCGTGTCTTATTATTTTAGTTAAATTACTACTTATGAACATGTTGTTTGAAATAATATTAACACTGCATGTTGTTTAATTACAGTTTTCATTTGTTTTCATGAAGTGAAACAGAGTTCATACCTGTACTTTATCAGCAAGCGGTAAGTTAGCTAGCTTGCTAACATAGATACAGTAGTTGACTATCAGGTCAGGCATATCTGGAAACTTAGCCTTGTGTCCTTATTTTCTACTACCAGCTAACTTTGTAGGACAGGATTTTGTCTAATTTGAGTCTTAATGTGATCCTGTGTGGCCACTGTATCTGGTTACGTTGTCAAATTTCAGACACTAGCCAGTGTTACTTAGCTACCTAACTAGCTAGCTAGCAACGCTGATGAGTTACCTCAGAGAACCATGAAAGGGGAGATAAAGTTCATACATTCACCACATTGTTTTCACAACACTATTTAATAGTTTTAAAAGCCTGTTGTTACATTGTGTTGTCAAAAGCTGCATTATTAGCAAATGTAAGTCATTCGAAAATCAATGTGCTTTTGTAGTTGCTAGCCAGCAGCTACAGCCGTTCAACACAGCTAACGCCAGCAGCAGCTTTTGTTTACAGTTTATTTTTACAGTTTTCTTTCCTATTTTGGAAGATGGCCGAGTGTGCGGGGGACTTTGTGGAGGTCCATTCTCACTGTGACATATGAAAACTCATAAAACACATGTAAGTTCACTGGTCATTTTGGACAGCAGATGAAGTGGTGATGTCTGTAGTGTAGACATAATGTCTGGTTCCTTGTGCTGTAATGGTGAACAACTTTGACTCAGTAAATTTCTTTAGAAAAGCGCATTTCACACCAAATGACTTTGTTTACGTCTAAATCATTAAATGATTAATTCATTTCATTTAATAAAATAAACGTAATGAAAGGGGAACTCCATAATTAATCTTTCATGACAGAAATCTGTGTAAATACAAAATGATGCTGTTCATACTCTGTCTCTTCACTGTCTTGGGGTAAGGTGGACTCGGTCTCATTTTGGTCTGGGGTAAGGTGGACTCGGTCTTGTCTCGGCCTGGGTTAAGGTGGACTCGGTCTCATCTCAGTCTCGGGGTAAGGTGGACTTGGTCTGGGGTAAGATGGTCTTGTATCGGTCTGGGGTAAAGTGGACTTGGTCTCATCTCAGTCTGGGTTAAGGTGGACTCAGTCTCGTGGTAAGGTGGACACGGTCTCATCTTGGTCTGGGTTAAGGTGGACTTGGTCTCGTCTCGGTCTGGGTTGAGGTGGACTCGGTCTCATCTCAGTCTTGGGGTAAAGTGGACACGGTCTCATCTTGGTCTGGGTTAAGGTGGACTTGGTCTCGTCTCAGTCTTGGGGTAAAGTGGACACGGTCTCATCTTGGTCTGGGTTAAGGTGGACTTGGTCTCGTCTCAGTCTCGGGGTAAGGTGGACTCGGTCTCGTCTCAGTCTCGGGGTAAGGTGGACTCGGTCTCGTCTCAGTCTGGGTTAAGGTGGACTCGGTCTCGTCTCAGTCTCGGGGTAAGGTGGACTCGGTCTCGTCTCAGTCTCGGGGTAAGGTGGACTCGGAAATTGTTGTTAAGTCCAGCCAAGTACGACTCCTCAATCTGAGATTACTGGAAACTGAATTATTATAAAAATCAACAAAACCAGAATAACAAAATAAAACAGCCCTTTCTCTGCATCAGGGATTCTCTTTGCTGTTGTAAGAACCAGCAAGTTGTGATGATGGTTTCATGTGGCAGGAGTGAGCATTGTTCCATTCTCTAAGGTATACAAAAGACTGGGGATTAGATTTACTAAAAGAGGTGCTACCTAGTTGTAGCTTAGCAACCTGTAACTAAACACGCGACAGCACATTTTACCCAACACCACAGCTGTGCACACAGGTAATTTATAAACTGGATACCCCATATAAGAGCTTGAAATGAGAGGTGAAATTGGATCTGGATGCTAAACTGAGACCAACGAGCAGAGCTGTAGGATGTGCTGATCCACACTGCTGTTTGCGTCATTTACAGGAAGCTGTAGAATCCAATATACACACAAACACACACCTTCTAAGCTGCTTGTCCTTCTGGGTCGTGGGGGGGGAGGTGGAGCCTATCCCAGCTGTCATTGGGTGGAGAGCACGATACACAAATCCCATATATCCTACATAAAAAAAAACAATGAAGATTCTTCAGAAAATCGTAAGGAAATAATTCAGACTTTCATAAGAGAATATTTGAGAACTTATGTTGTTGTTGGAGAATTGCATTTAAACCCATGTGTGGTGTTGATGTGCTTGTTACTCAGTGGTCTGGTGGACCCACCAAATTATTGGTTTTTAAATCAATACAGCCATAACAATTTATGTAAAAATACCAGGTGTTTAAAATATCACAAGTGTCCAGCGTAGCGTTCTCCTTTAGCAGCTGTAGCCAGTCAGCAGCCTGTCCATGTTATTCACCCTGACACACACACACACACACACACACACACACTAACAGCAGGCCATGTAGGAGGAGAACAAAGTGAAGGACACAGCACCTCCACACTTTTACTCCCCGCGGGTTCAGCCCAACACCACATGTGTAATATAAATGTGTGGGGGGTGAACAGAGTGAAGACACTGAAAATGTGCAAAGTGTTTAGTGTTTGTCTTAAAAACCTTCACATTTTTTTTCTTAAGAAAGCTTTTGTGAATCTGGTCCCTGAACTTTATAGTGATTTAATCTTAGTAAAGATCCACGCTTGTTTGTTTTAGAGTTTATACATTTATGTTAATTCATATATTTTCTAAATCTGCAGTGGTCATGCACAGTTTAGCACTGCAAAGTCATTATAGCAGTGTGAACTGCTTCTCTCCCCAGCTAGAGGCTGCTTTGGGGGCGGGTCACTAAAACACACACAGGATGATGTGCAAAGAGAGAAAATGTAGGCAGAGTTATATGTTGTTGTTTCCCCTCATTATAACACATTGTGTTTGATGTAAAGTTAAAATGAAAAAAGTATGTGCGGCTTAAAATTTCAAATTTCAGTTAGTGTCTGATTAGAGTCTGAATCTCTGCACAATCTTTCCTGAAATTAGTGTTTATCTGTAACATCTCACGGATAAGGATACTAACGCTAGCATTGGGAGTCAGATCCGCTGAGTTGAGAGAATTCTCTGTTAGAGCGGATTTTGAACATTCTGTCTATGCAGGCAAACATTTTGTTTTTGTTCTATTTATGCACTTTTTGAATATCTGACCTGCTTTCTGACTGCAAACAAGCACTGTGACATTTTCTGAAGCATACTGCTGACCGCTAAAAGAACAGGATGTGGTGCATGTCGTGAGTCCAACAGTCTAGCTGCTCCGTCCATGCATGGCCTATAAAGTACTGTGGTGAGGGTCAGTATAGCTACATTTTCTTTAAAGTAAGATAGAAAGACAGAGTCCAGTGCAGGATCTGTGAGAAATGGCTTAACTCCAGACTGTGTTTATCCTGCAGCTGCTGTTTGGTGAGTTCATTGATTTTAGCATATTAATTGATATAAAGCAGAAATAAATGTTCCTGGACACTCCAAAAACCTTTGATGGTAATTAGCACATCAGAGCAGCTGCGTGCACAATGCACACATTTTAAAACACTAAAAATATTATCCTGCATTGTGTTAAATTAAAGGGGACTGCGTAAAACTAGTGTTTGTTATGTTATGTGTTATGTTATGCAGTATCTGTAGTGCAGCGTTGAATCCCTCAGCTTGAACTCAGTTTGACAGAATTCACAATTTTGTATCTTTTGTGTTTTCATCCATCAGTGTTATTTCATTACGTTACCCAGCATGCACTACGCATGTACATCATACAACCATAGACCACTGTAGTCGTGCGTCAATCTGTTGTGCTCGTTATGCCCATATTAGGAACTCCGGGTCGGAGCTCCATTTCTCTATGGCCAGAATGAATAGGGCTTTTGAAAAATTGCCTCTATCGCCCCCTGTGTTAAATAAAAATGTTCAGAACCCGATACGTTTCATCCTGTGTACATTTTTCTCCTGAAAACCACTGGATCCTCTGAGGATTGTTAAAGAGGTTGTTAAAGAGCTATAATACTAATATTGCTACATGCGAGCTAAAGCTACTGCGCATCAATTTGATGTCACTAAGCTACACGGAACTAAGGCGGGCTGTGCCGGTGCTCTGACGAGCTGTGCTACCTTATCAAAATGTTCTACTGTAGTGCATATTCACAGGTATACCTGTAAATAAAACCTCTAGGTAGGATATTTTGGTAAAGACTAAAACTACTTATCAAAAATACTACCAGCATTAAAACTACAAGGCTGAATTTAGCTTCTTTTTCACAGCTTCTTGTTTGAATGTTC